TGTTTTTAAAAGGAAAAAAAATTGCCAATAGAGATAGTAGTTTCTAAGCATACATCAGATGTCATACACACAAACAGGCAGCTGAAGATAACATAAAATATAGGAATTGGGTAGAAGATACTTAAGATCTTTTCTTACTGGAAAATTCTAAGAACTAGCATTATTTGCAGGAATATATATATAGATACAGAAATAAGTGGCAAATGTACACACAGTGTAAAGAATATGCATAATTGTCACATGAATAAAAATCTAGAATCAAATAGTTCAAATACTTGAAATTGTCACATGCTAAATTAGTATTTAATGAGAAATGATAACTATACAAATTGATATCACAGATCCATTTCAGAAAACAATGTCCAGGATTCACAATATTCTAGACAAGTAAAGATTGAAACATATTCATTATAATTTCTGCACTATAAATCCACAGATTGGGAATTCATATATGAAGTAATGATTCTCAAAGTTCTTCAGAACTTTGAAATGGTCAGAATGACTAAGTTATTTATATGTTTTATCTTAAATATATTTATGCATCTAATGCTTGGCAAATTGGTAATGCATGCCATACAAGATATAATCTCTCTTTAAAAACTAGTTTTTACAGACTTGGAGACCAAAGAAATTGTAAAGTGGTCTAAAGGACAAAATATACAAATGTACATATGCACATTTCTATTTATTTTATTTTATTAGTTATTTTGAGACAGAGTTTCGCTTTGCCACCCAGGCTGGAACGCAGAGACACGATCTTGGCTCACAGCAACTTCCACCTCCCAGGTTCAAGCAATTCTCATGCCTCAGCCTCCTGAGTAGCTGGGACTACAGGTACACATCACCAGACCCCACTGACTTTTTGTAATATTTAGTAGAGACAGGGTTTCACCATGTTGCTTCAGCCTCCCAAAATGCTAGGATTACAGGCTTGAGCCACCGTGTCCAGCCATTTGTATTTATTTTAATGAGTGAGCTTCTATAAAAGGGTAAATTTTCATAAATCTCTCTCATGAACAAATATTCTGAGGAAAGCTGTTGTGAGAGGAAAGGAAAACTCACAGTGTTTACAGAAAGGAGATCAATTATCCTTAAGCCAGGAATGGAGTTGTCCTGAGGTTTTAATCAAGAAGGGAGAAAGGGCAAGAGGTAGGTGAATCCACAGTAAGTTGTTAAAACAAAAGAAAAATACGCAAAAAGTGAAATTCTCAATAGGTGCTCAGCTCATAAAGTTAGTGCTCTTCAAAACCCCAAATCTGTTCCTCCACGTTTCCCTGCTTCTCCTACAGCGAAGTTGGTGCAAAGTGACAATGACTGGCCCAGAGACAATGATGTACTCTGAGTAGCAATGATGCAGGGGTTATTTATGATAAGTAATTCAGGCTTAACACAATATGACTCTGTAATACACACACAAACACCAGTGTACACTGCCTCTCAAACTGTGGACACTCCAGGATAATTTGATCGCGTGTTGAGTGTGTACCTGAATACAAACACACACACACACAACCACCCTATCCTGAGACACTCCTCCAGAACCCACACATATCAATACCAACCTCTCACCTGAGTTTGAGTAAGAAATATAAAATGTCTGTAGAAGACACTATTTTGCCTGTATACAATGTGTCTGTGAATAGTCACGTTGATGTATTTGAATGAATTCCTTGAAAAAAAATGATGTGAGGTCTGTGTCTAGAATAAGTCAAGGTATAGCAGTCTAAAATTTGTACAGTGATGTTGATGACAATGACTGTGATGATGGTGATGATGGTGGTGATGATGATGATAATGGTATCATTCCACAATGCTGCATCTATTTTTGATAACTTTAGGGTCAATACATAAACTGTTGGATTATTAATGCTTTCAGTGATTGAGTTCTTAGTTTGGCTGCAAACCAAAAACCGACTGGATATTTTGCTATATATGCCTTGCTTACTAAACTTTACTTCTTTGCCCAAACAGTGGGTAAGGGACTGGACTCAAAAGGTTGCTAGCTTCCCCCGTGAGACACAGGGCAAGGGCCCTTTTGACCTCGTAAAACTGGAAGCCCCTCTGAAAGGGCTGACTTGCTACCTAGAGGACAAGAAATGCCTTACAGCCCTCATTCAAAATTGCACTAATCTGTGAGGAGCAAAGGGCACATTAGAACATTTCATCATAACTTACGTTTCATGTCAGTAATTATCTCTGATGCAACTGGCCTCATATCCAGGCCTTTTTTTTCTCCATTAGAATATCACAGACTTCGATTTTTGAAAGCATGAGTCCTTTCCATAATGAATCAAATATCTATGCATGTTTAATTATAATTATTTATATTTTGAAATTTAGTTTTGGACATAAATCATACGAACTCATCTTATCCTTAGAGTTAAAAAATATGTTACTTGGAAAAGTTCATACTTTCGAGTCCATAAAATTAGGAATAAGTATTATTAACTATGCAAAGGAAATATTAATGTTTGGATAATTTCAATTTTTATGATTTGGGGTATGACTCTTTAAGGCACACAGTATTTGCTTAGAGTTTTACTCTCTTATGGGACTCACTTAACTTAGTAAGCGTCACAGAACCAGCCATGTGAAGTTCTGCCATTTAAATTCACTCTTCTGCATATTAGAATATTCTGAATAGAAAAGCATCTGACTTAAAAAACAGTTCCCAAAATAGTCAAGGTGAATTTAGTATTTTGATTTAATTTAAAACAAAACTGTTTCAATATCTAACTTTGAAGTTTACGTTTCTCAGGTAGAAATGGAGGACAAAAGCAATTAATTTTTATATAAACACACTTTTATTGTTTTCTATGAAGGTTGCACTTTACAAAGGCAAAGCTCTAAACAGTGAACACAGCAAAAGAAGCTTTGTAAGTGTAAATATACGTTTGCACACATCGGTAGGCAGAAATGGTGTTCAAGATGACATTTCAAACGCCGTGAATGCCAGTTACCCAAAAAGCATTCAATGCACTTTCCTTGGGCCGTGTGTTATAATTGGGTTACATACTCAGTTTTTATTGTGTGAAATCCTGGCAGGCTTGGATGGGGTGGGGGGGAATCCTATGGACTCCAGGGCCAAGTGCGCAGGAAGGGGATACTCAGTCTACATTCTTCAGTCTCATTTTCACATGCAGGTGACTCTGTGAACGCAGACACACATCTTGTGTGGGACTTAACTCATTTATTAGTTATATATAGTGTGAAGCATCACACACAATCTCGATTTCAAGAAGAACAAAGGCCGAGAAAAATAAACAAGCATCGTGTCGTAAAGCAAAGGGCTTCAAAGGTCAAGCTAAGAAGATGACTCCCTTCCACCTCCAGCTCTGCACCTCCCTTGGCTGACAGCTGTGTGGTGACAGACTTGAGCATTGCGTCCCGGCTGCGAGGAACCACCAGACTCCTGGAGAACCGCAGCTTTTGCCGTGGGTTCGTCCTTATAGCCCTGGAAAAGAATGAGGCGCTTTCTCCTACCCAAGAAAAGCCCTTGAAACCTGGCCGAGGATCTGACTCTGGCGCCTGCTCTCTTTCGCCTTGGCGGGGCTCACGGCAGCGCACGGTGGCTCCAGGCTGGAGGAAGGGGGGCGTTGCTGTCGCACTCGCTCTTGCAGCCTCCCAGTCTACTACAGAACTGCTGAAGTTCCAGAATGGGCCCCTGTTGTCCTTGGGGTACAGTCTGCACCTTTAATGCGAAACCCAGCAGAGGCAGCACCAAGAGTCAAGTCGGCCTTTCCCGTCCGTCCTCCTGTCCCCAACACCTGGCGCCGCCAACTCCTGGCAAAGTGACTCCTGGTGCTTGGTGATCTGCCCTCTTTCGGGGATTCTACTGTACCTTTCTTCTACTCTCTAACACTGCCCTTCTTTTGCTTTCTTTTTTACACAGAAATGAGCTAAGTTCTCCCCTCTTTTTCCCCTTCTCCAAGTTGGAGGATTCTTCCAGTCATCAGGGAACACAGGGAAGGTTCTAGCTCAAGAGAAGGTTCTTCTCTTTTGCCCCGGGATGCAGGAGCCTGGTAGAACTGGAACTTGGAGGACAGTGAGGCAGACACAACCAGAGTCCGGAGCACGGGCACTTTCTTTCCCAGACGAGTTTCCCCTCGCTGTTCCGGATCACCCCACCCGGGTCAGCCTCCCAGGTCACCCCACCTCGCGCGCTCCCTGGGGACCTCCTGCCCGTCCCTCCATCCTCCCCCTCGCGTCCCAAGTCTAGGCCGCTCCCGTCCAGGTGCCCGCCCCTCCTGTCCCGCTGCCTCCCGTTGAGTCCCTCCTACCGCCTCGTCTGGTCACTAGAATAGTTTTGAACCCTTGGGTTCTACACTGTTTCCCTCCCAAGCCAGGCAGCGTATCTCTCAAGAAGTAGGGAAAGGTCTCCATCAACTTTGCCGTTACGGAGCAGTGTCCGCCGGCGGGCGCGGGGCACACACCTGCCTGCACGCGGGCGCGGGTCCCCGGGTCGGGGAGCACTCGCGGGGCGCGGGAGCCGCCCTCCGCCACGGCAAAGGCGCCCTAAACTCGCTCGCTACAGCCGGCAGGGACGCGCGGCGCTGGGAGGGCATAAAATGGGAATTTCGAATTGAGCTTGGGAAGCGGGGACCAGAAAATGGTGATTCTAAACACACGCGAGCGTCGCCACACAGCAGTTCCACCCGAAAGGCGCACACTTTTGAGAACAGACCATCGTGGATAGCACCGCAAAGAAACCTCCTCCAAGGCACGTTCCTCGTTGGAACTGACAACCCCTTTCGTCTACTGACTTCCCCGCACGGTCGAAGACAGCCCGGTGCACTCGAGGATGGGGACTCAGGCGCTCCCGGAGCCCGCAGGTCCGTCTGCAGAACCCCCCCGGCAGGTGCGGGCCCCCACCTGGCCAAGCAACAGGGCTGGGTCCCTCTCTGCCCTGTACCCGCACGGGTCACCTCTCCCTGCCCCCCTAGGCAGCCAGCCGGGCCGAACGAGCGCAGGGGAAGGAGCAAGCCGAGCGAACCACTCACCCCTAGCTTCCTGCTGCGGATTTTCACGTAGCCCTGCTTGACTATGTCGTTAAAGTTGGAGGCCATGGCCAGCGCGATCCGGCTCCTGCGCTCCGCGAGCCGCTCTCCAGAGTCGAGAGCCGCCGTCCGCCGCCGGGTCTGCGCGGGTCTCGCATCCAGCCGGCCGCCGCCAGCAGCAGCGCCGCCGCCCGCTCCTCCCCGAGCTCCCGCCGGTGGGGACGCGGGGTCGCCTGCAGGGCCGCCGCGGACGGGGAACGGGGCCCGGCGCCGTGAGCCGCACCAGCCCTCCGCGTTCCGGCGCTCACCTTCGCCCCCCGCCGCGAGCCCCGCGCCGCGGCCCGCGCCGCCGCCAGCTGCGGGCGCCCCCACCGCGCCGCCGCCCCCGGCAGCACCCACGGGCTGGCGCCTCGCTCGGCGGCGCACAGCTGGCCGGAGCGCACCACCGCGGCTCCCCGGCGCGGGGGGAGGGGGCGGGACGGGGGGGCGGGCTGATGCGCCGGCCCCGCTCCCTCCCCCTGGTCCGCGGGATGGCTGGGCTCGTAGACGCTCGCAAGAAGCGCTCCATCCCTCTCCGCGCGGGCGGGAGCGCCTCCGCCGCCGCGCGCCCCGGGCCCGCTCCCCACCCGGCTCCCCACCCGGCTCCCCGGTCCCTCAGCGCTCCCCGGGCGCGAGATTCCTAAGGACACAGCGCCTCATTCCCGGGCTCTAAATCTCCACTCGCAAGCTGGGCACCGGGGAAAGGGCGGTGGGGACACTTCCAACGTGGAAGGCCAGCGGGAGCGAGACACTTGTTTATTTCATCGGCCTTGTTTACAGTACATTTTTATTCCCAAACACACGCGGTCGTTCCAGGTCTTTGCCCCGTTAGGAAGTGTAAATCAATCGACGCCAAACCCTTCCTGGTGCACACAAAGAGACCAATCGTGCGCATGTGTCTAATCCTCCCGCAGCCTAGAAACAGGCAACCGGGCGAGGCAGCCGGGCGCCGACGTCCTCTGCTGAAGGAGTGGAGAAGACCGACCCGAATGGTTGATTTATGCATGCGTTTTCGTTAACTAGGACTAAAAGTGGCTCCTGGCTCTTCTGGGAAAATGGAGAATGTGGTTGTTATCAATGGATGCCAATGACTTCTTGAAATGCTCAACTTGTACAAACAAAAAATGAACTTTCTCCCCTTAATGTAGAAACACATGGTATTTTAAAAGTAGGTTTTCCATTATTGTAAAGACATTTTAATTTTTAAGATTATATTTTTGTGAAAGATTCGAGGAAAAAGAGGGATAATGAATTTCGACTGGAGGCAATATATGGATTTTTACTATAGGCTAGAACATTTAGTACTTACTTGCTAAGGATATTTCTAATTAGTAAAATGTATAAAGGTTGACAATTTTTAAGGTGACTCCTGCAAAAGTTATATTTAATCAAAAGATGGTGTTTGTTTATTACAGTGAGCAGTATTTTTCCAGATTCTCATTTAAAATTTCCCACCCCTATTTGAAACACAATAATACTAAGAAAGAAAGGAAACTGAACTTGAATGGGGTTGAGGGGGGAATGTAAAAAACTTGAAGAACAAGGTAGCATGTCCCTCACTCCAACCAGACAGCATCCAGGGGAGAGTTTTGGCTCATACTTAGCAGAAGTCTCCATCTAGAGCCCGTGTAAACCAATGGAAATTCTTATTTGCTTTAACAGCACGCTATTCCTATTCATTTATTAATGTGGGCTAGCTGGTTTTTTTGTTTTGTTTTGTTTTTAATAAAAAAAACTTCCCACCGTGCAAAGTACCAGATGCTGGGACAGATCAGATACTAAGAATAACATGGTAAAATCCTTTCCGCTGTCACTCTGGAATGGGCCCAAACTCTCACCTTCCCAGATAATTTGCATAAACTCCCTGGAATGGGCTCAAGCTCTGACCTTCTCAGAAAATTTGCATAAACTCTCTGATAACTCCTTGTAATTCTTTCCTCGGAATACCTGGCACAGCTTGTCTATTCCACCCACTTTTTACTATTTCATACACTGCATGGCCATTTTTTTTTTTTTAAATATAAAGACTGCTTTAGGTTTGTAAATGCTTTAAATAAGTTATTTTATTCAGCCCTCTTTGCAACCACATATGTTAAATGAAGAATAACTTGCCAGTTACTAGATGAAATCGACGCTCAGAGACATTCAGTTGCAGAGCCACAGGTTTCAAGACTGGTTTGAGGTCTACAATGATTTCCATGACCACAGACTCCTTCTCCTATTTATATAATCATCTGTTTTCACAAGTCAGTTATCAGTTCTTTGAAGTCAGGGATTAGTTTTGTCTCAGCAACAATCTTAGTGCTGACATAAATAACAGGTGTGATCACTAATCATGGCTTTTAATGATTATGTCTGTGATTACTGTGCTGACACTCATGTTTATCAACGTCTTTGTAACACCCTAGCATGATTTCAGTATTCTCATTTATCTTTTATTTTTAAATTGGTGTTACAGCAATTTTTATGTATGCGTGTCCCTCTCTTTATGATCTTTATTTGCCTCTTGAAAGCCCTAGATTATCTGTCATGTAAATTTTCCCAATTCGGGATCTGGTTGCATAGCCTCAATTAAATATGTTCACCCAAGTCCCACATTTCCTACTAATGTGACTTAGAAACTTACTTGCATTCTACTTTTTTTACAAAATAATAAAAGATGCTGTGTATATTCTACTGAATCGTAGCAAAGGAACAAAACATCTAGCTGTCCCATTGATTGGAAGGTTAAAGTGTTGTCAACACTCATCTGTACATTATAAAATCATAAAATATAAATTCTATGAAATTGTAGAATTATCAAATTCTCCACCAACCTTCCAACTAGTGGTTTTTGTGTCACTGATGATCATTGCTTAGATACATTACTTCATTAGGGATTGCAAAGTTGTGATTTTCTAATTTAACTTTATTCTTGAGTTTATGAGTATATACCCTCTTCTAAAAAAGAAACAAATAAACAAAAATACTTTCCCTCACAAATTAGAGAATTCCCCTGAAATAGACACCCTATAAGAAAGGCAAGCTTGATTCTTAAACATTATCATCCATGTTTTAGAAATCTTGAATGGGTTCTAGCAAACTCGAAATGAATCCCTGCCGCCTTTGGAATATCATTTCCAAAAATGTAGTTTTGTATATTTGATGTATTTCAGTGCATCACAGTCATTATTCTTTTTGGTGTTTGAACTATCCCATCTTAGATGAGAAGGAGCTGCTTCCATAGACATTTTTGCATTTTGAACAGGTAGCCATGAACTTTACTGGCCTGACTGTGATCAATAGCAAGGTATCCCATGCTTATCTAATACATTTCCAACTGCAGACCTGGAATTCATTATTTCTTTTGGAACCTTAATTTGTTTTAATGAGAAATGAAATTCATTTCCCATAATTTGGTTGCTAGTGGTGTTTTTTGCTACTAGTTTTATGCTTTTCAGTTATAAAGCAAGGAAACTTTTTTTAATTTCAGAAATATATATTAAAAGAAAAAAACTCACTTTCAAAGTATATTTTCAATTCAAATTAATGTTGACATGTTCCATATTTTAGGATTGTTTTTCCTTTGAGATACTCACTATGTGAAATATTTACAAGTTTCCAAAGTCAGATATATCAAATAAGGCACATTGAGAGATATAGCTCTCATTTCTTTCCCTTCCTCTCTTTGTAAGAAACAATTTTCATTAGATTTTGGTTTGCCTTTTTATTTATTTTTATTTTATTTTATTTTTAAATACAAGGAAAGATATATATGGGTACCTATTTTTGTCTTACAAAAAAAAAAAAAGGCGGCCAGGCGCGGTGGCTCACGCCTGTAATCCCAGCACTTTGGGAGGCCGAGGCGGGCAGATCACAAGGTCAGGAGATCGAGACCACGGTGAAACTCCGTGTCTACTAAAAATAACAAAAAATTAGCCGGGCGTGGTGGCAGCGCCTGTGGTCCCAGCTACTCAGGAGGCTGAGGCAGGAGAATGGCGGGAACCTGGGAGGCGGAGCTTGCAGTGAGCTGAGATTGCGTCACTGCCCTCCAGCCTGGGTGACAGAGCAAGACTCCATCTCAAAAAAACAAAACAAACAAAAAAAAAAGCGTGCGATTCAACATTTTATTACTCCAGTAGGCAGCCTCTAAATTGGGCCGTAAGACTTGATAAATGGCCCCGTATAATTCTTCTTTCTCAGTGTGGGATGGACTTTCCCCTCCCCCCGCCCAGCTTCTAATGAATACAGCAGAAGTGATGGAGTGTTCTCCCTGAATTAAGTTATAAAAAGACTGTGGCTTCTTACATGCTGGGTCATCTCTATTGGAAAGCTTACCCTGGAGGAAGCCAGCTACCACAATATGAGCAATCCTATGGAGAGGCCCATGCAAATGAGCTTGGAGGGTGTCCATCTGAGGCTTTCCAAAAGCCATGCTAGTAAACTCAGAAACAGATCTGCCCAGTCACTTTAGATGGCCACACCCTGGCAGTCACTGAGAGAGCCTGAGCCAAGACCAACCAGCTGGGCTGCTCCTAGTTGTTTTTCAACAAAGGAAACTTTAGTTATTTGTAAGTTAATAACTAAAATAGACTTTGGTATATGGAAGTAGGGTGTTGTCTTAATGGAAAAAAAAAAAAAAACCTAAAATTTGAGAATGATTTTGGAATTTATGAGTGGCCTTGAGAAGAGTATTAGTAAAGACACAAAGCATCTTCAACGTGCTGTTTGTAGCAGTTTGAACTTTGAGGGCACTAAGTAAGCTCACACAACAAAGTGAAGAAAATATGATTGAAAATTGAAAGGAGTATTCTGGTTATTTAGTGGCAGGAAACTTAGTAACAGTGTTCCTTGCAGCTATGTGGAAACTAGAAAATGCATGTAATAAACTCCCTGATCTAGATAAGAAAATCTCCATCCAAAGTATTTCAAGTGCAACTGTTTCTTCTTTCCATTTAGTACATTTTTATTTGTTTGTTTAGACGGAATCTCACTCTGTCATCCAGGCTGGAGAGTGCAGTAGCAAGGTCCTGGCTCACTGCAACCTCCGCCTCACAGGCTCAAGTGATTCTCCTGTCTCAGCCTCCTGAGTAGCTGGGACTACAGGTATGTGCCACCACACACTCGGCTAATTTTTGTATTTGTAGTAGAGACAGAGTTTCACCATGTTAGCCAGGCTGTTCTGGAACTCCTGGCCTCAGGTGATCTGTCCATGTCAGCCTCAGTGGCCTCCCAAAGTGCTGAGATTACAGGCATGAGTCACTGTTTCTGGCCCCACTTAGTACAAATTGAAAGGAGAGAGATACACTGAGGGAAGGACTGTTGCACAGAAGGGAGCCAAGAACAGGTTTCGAATATTCTCACCTTCTCCAGACCAGAATGCTCAAATTAATAAATGGAAGC